TGATAGTGTGCGACATCAATCCAATACTTTCATCAGGTGCTAATGATCAGAGAGCGGCAGAGTGAGCGCTTATTGGTCTGTGCCTGAGGTAGAACTGAGGATTGTAAAGGAGGGGATGAGATGATGAGAATGAGTGTGCAGCATAATCTATTGTGTGTGTGTCTTCAAGTTTGTGCACATGCCAGGTGTGTGTGTGTGTGTGTGTGTGTGTGTGTGTTGGCTTGGTGATGTGCAGTCCCGTCGGCATGAGGGATGATTGGCAGCTCCTGTTTGGGCATTGTTGATAACACACAGGAGGGCAACTGCCACAGATGAGCTCTGTCAGGCTGTCTGCCAGTCAGACACCCACACACACTTTCCTCTCTCTCCTTTTCACATCAGCGCACACACACACACACACACACACGTGCACGAACCTACAACTCTGTTTCTTTCCCATTCACTCTTGCACTGGCTCTTATTTGTGTTAAACACACAGAATGGATCAGTCCACTCTTAAACACACACTTCTCACAGGCGTAGAATCCCCCTCCGTTTCCTCCACACACGCACACGTGCGCACACACACACGCTCACACACACACACCCTGTCAGCCCTGCCCGTGGCGAGCCATTGAACCTGGTATCCTGATAAGAGCAACAACAGTCCTCTCCTCTGCAGGGAGAGTCTGTCTCATTCATATGCATTTCTTGATGTGTTGGAGAATCTCTGTCACTTGTTTGTCACTGTGGACGGCTTGAAAAGACCAGACTGACATTTGAAGGGGCTACATTTCAATGCAGCAGTTGAAAATGGCACAGGGAAGTGCAGCCATATTTGTATTGTCTGTGGCATGCAGCTGGAGTTTCACTTTAAAGTGGAAAAATTACCTCAGGGAGACTCCCCAACCTTGTTAATGACATCTTTGGTCCTCACCTGAAACAGAGACGGGAGCTCAGAATACTAATCAGACTTTTTTGTGGAGTCATATTTGGTTTTGAAGGCTGGTGATTAACAATTTCCTCCTGCTGTCTGGGGCCGCCACCAAATGATGGAACAGCAAACCGTGATGAAGTGAAGTGGCAATTTGCCCACTAGGGTGTGGTTTCTAGAAAACTAGTAGTACATGGGTACCAGGGGCGTATCCAGAGGTGGGGCCACCCTTCTACCCCTGCATCTGGTTGGCCCCTGAATTGCCTCTGTGCTATGAGTAGTCTAAAAAAACCTAGTCACTTATTAAAAATACAAACAAAAAATGAATTAACTAAATATTTGCTAAGAACTTTTATTGAAGCTTTTTTGAAGTGATTTTCAAAAGATTTTCACTGATGTGTGGCTTTGAATCAAAGCTATAGAGCCACAGAAAACAAGGAATGACGGAGTGATACTATATAGTTAGCGTGTGTGTGTGTGTGTGTAAGTTCTTGAATGAATAATGAGTCTTTTTACTGAATCTGGCATATCTCTCTCACACACACATACACACACATGCACACACACACGTAGTGAAAGCCCTTTAGGGATCAATTACCATTCACTCATGTCTTTATATCAGCTTTAGCCTCCTTTACGCAGCCTGTTGAAAGTGGGAATGTTTCACCTATATTCTGCTGCTCTAGTAGTTGTTCCACCATCAGGCCAGCAGCAGAGGAGTGTTTTCTAAACTCAGACACAGGGGCAACAATATCCTGGCTTGGTTTGTTCCAGTGTAAACAAGCAGCGCGGCCTTCTTCACATAAATTGAGCAGGATCATTGATAGAAGGGGGATTCTTCCTTATAAGGACCATGCAATGACTTCCATTCATTGTGGAGAGCCTAACCAAAACCTTAACCCTGAGCTTAACCTTACTGCAATCCACATTTTACCTCCCAACTTAACCAGGAGCTCAGAAATTAAAGAGGTAACAAAACACACACTCATGCTTTTCAATACAATTTTGGTTATATTGTTTTGTATTTGCTATTGAAGGAGATATCATCCACTGCCATAGTATTTGGAAAAGGAGTCAGTGTGTGTCAGTGAGAAAGAAAGGGATGTATTTTTCTATCCAGATGCTCCACCATTAGTTTGTCTTTTTTGGGATAAAACTTTTCATCATGGTCAGTTTATTGTGGAGAAATAGGAAACTTCACTATGATCTGACAATCACAACAGAGGAAGTGATGGAGACAGATGTGAGGGCAGGAATAGAGAACATTTCATCAGCCTCTGGATTTTAGCCAGACTGAGAACCTGTTTTAAATAGGAACAAAACCCCAACTCCACTAGATACAGATTTTGTTTTTTTCCTTACTCAGATTCAACAGATGAAAAAGCATTTGATTGTAGGTGTCCAAAAATAATCTTTTGATTTTCTATCTCCTGAGAAATCTCGATCCTTATCTTTCTTTGGAACACAGGAAAGAACATTCACAAACAGGTTCACATGTTAATCATCCTTCCAGTGGAGGAAATCATGTGCTTGAGTAAGTGGTGGGAAAAACAATTTGTCGAATTTTTTAGAAAATGGTGCATGAATTTTGAAGTGAAAGACATTCAGATATAAATACATATGCTACGTTTTAAAATGAACATTCTATGAGCTATGACATTTTCAAAAAATACCACAAGTCACAACTGGGCAACTCAAAAGCTTTTAGAAAATTTGTTGTGAATTCATGAATAACATTAGAGAGTTTTTTTAATGGCCTCTCATGGCCTCCCTACAATGGTCCCACTTGAAGGCACCAAATAGCCCTGTCTTATGTAAATAACATACAAATAACCCACCAACCTCTGGTGTGTTATTACTGGAAAACAGATGCACTTAGGTTGATAGATTACGGACATTTTACTTTTTCTTTTTCACATTTCATGACGACTGAATTGTAGAAACCTTCAGTTGTGATTATTTGTTTCTTATTCATATCCTCTGCTGTTCTTTATAGAGTTAATACTGTAAATTGGGCAACTGCTCATCAAGTCTTAAAACAAGGGTGATGGCTTGTGTGGTTTTCACCCGGCAGTCCTGTTGAAATAAATATGAAAATGTAAGAGGGGACATGTAATATTTGCCTTTCTATGGATGTGAGCTGGTGACATCAGGGCACGGGCCCGGAGCCAAATCCCCATGAATCCACCCGGGGCTTTGAGCATGCTTAAGCAATCATGACCTGGCATAAGGTCCGTGTACGTAATCAATTATTCGTTTGGAAGGTGGAGGGAAAGTCAGACCATCTGCTGAGGGGAGCAGTCTTGGCTAAGTTATTGAGCTGTGGGCCCTTCTCTTGTTTAATAATGGTCCAACTAAGTATTGCTCTGTAACGTGGACCAGTCACATTCAATTTCACATGACAATTCAGAAATGCCAGCAGAGCCTTAGCTTTTACTGTGGAGTGAAGATTGTGTGATGTGACCATGAAGCATCCTGACTGAATCAAGTCCGGTGCTTATGAGACAGAACCATCAGTTCTGAGGTCCTATGTTAGAAGTACGATGTGAATTGTGGTAAGGTAAAGGTTTTGACTAGGTCGAACAAACCTCTGTCTCTATGTGTGTGTGTGTGTGTGTGTGTGAGTAATCTCCATCCTCCAGCTCCTTGCTCTCCTCTTCCTCTAACAACATGAGCTCAACCAGACATGAGGAGCAACACAAATAAGTTTCAACATCATGATAGAATGACAGGATAATTAGACTTCCTGGTATGGAGCTGAAGAAAATTATAATAATAATAATAATATTTGTTTTATTGTACCACCACCAGTTGGTTTGTTCATGACTAGCTTTTTTAAATTACTTTCATAAAATGTATGGAACTTTATTATATCATGAAATACTCAAAAGAAAGAATGTTACATGTTACAACACCTCTTGTTGAGTAGGAGTCTATAGAAACCTGCTCATTTTGAAATATATGCGGTTTGAGATGCATCATTCACAGTTTTTTTTTTCCACTTTTAGGCTCTGGGTTCATAACTGGAGCTGGAGCCAGCAGCTTGAAATGATCTGGCTCAGGACCACCATGGTCCTCCACCACCCATCTCAAAAGAGCCCTATAGCAAAGGTGGCTTGCTTTTCTGAGTGACTTCCCCTTTTCTCTGTCCTGGTCACTGTCAATACATATAGAAAATAAAGAAAGACTGTTTTATGGCTGGTCTGACAAAAGAAGACAGTGTTGGACCAGAAGGCACATCAGCTTATCAACCTGAAAAAAGAGCAAACCATGTTATGAGTTTCACTTATCATTTGCACACTTCCTCTAATACCAACCCACTCTTGTGTCCCCAATTAACAGACTTTCCTGAGCTAATGAGACAAATCTCAGACCTGTGTGTGATTAATAGATGTGATGATTCAGTTTGTGTAGATTTCATGTTTCATAAAAAAATCCACTCCAACTGTATATTTAAATTCAGCTCCAGAGAAGCCTTACAACTCTAATATCAGTAATTCTCATTATTATAAACTGAATTGTAACTGAGACAAGAGAAAAATCATTTGCTCAACTCTCCCCCCACTAAAGAGGTAAAACATGGTTGTGTGCTGCCATCATGTGGCCAACTGGGTAACACACAGTCATAAGGCTGTCAGTGGTCATGTTACATCTCACTGGGACGTTTGAAAAGAACAGGATTATCATTTTAACTCTAAATTAAATTGATCAAATTTTACTTGATATAAAAATCTTCTCTAAACAATTAACTGTTCTATGCATCTTAGTTCAGCTGATTGCTTAATTGATCCTTTATCCAGCCAGAATAGAAGGATACTCAGAGAGCGTATCCTTCCACCAAGGATAAAACTATTTTTTTATGCTCCTATAGGTAATGGGCTCTTCTTTGGATCATACCTCACCCTCCCACAAAGTTACAAGAAAGAGTTAAGTAGATTTTGTGTAATCCTGTTTACAGCAATGAAAACAGAAGGTAACTAACTCATGTACAACAGAATTGATAAAATTAATTTGGAAAATATGCTAAATATTATATTTTGTATCACGTATCATCCAGGTTATTGTTTCATGGCTCATTTATTGAGACAAAATTACCCCTGGTCCACAGCAGAGTAGAAAATCAGATTATCTGGTGCATAAATCCAACTGAAATCACTGAAAACATTTAGTCACGACCAAACAATAAATAAAGTAATAAATGAAAAACAACTGAGTCCTACTGTAGCAAAGCTTTACTGAAAGATGATGAAGGTTTTCCAAGAAAAAAATATTGATAAAAGTTTATATAAAAATGCATTTGAGCTGTCACAAAGTGTGTTCTCCCCCCATTCACTTTGATCAGTAACAGTTTTGTAATTAGAAAACACCTCGATGCTGAAATTCTCCTTAGTACGTAGTAACAATACTGCCAACATCATTTTCAAACAAATAATATATATATAGGTCTACTTCATATCTACAGCCAGGTGATGCCATTACACTGACGATACATTGTAACTGAGCGCTACAACACTTGTGGACAACGTGTAAAATTTGAACAATGACACTGAGTAGTAGCATAAATAACTGTAGTGGCTAAGAAGACAATGTCAAAGAGTCAGCTTCCCTCGTTCGAGACATAATGAGCTCAACACCGTGCTCACAAAACTACAGACAACTTGAATGAGGGTCCAGACTCAGTGGATATCATGTAGTGTATGTGCTTGTTTTCTTAAAAATGCTACAACTCTACCATTTAAGAGTCAGTGTGATAGACTTCATTAAGAACATGTAGAATTAGGACTCAATTGTCCAAATGTACCAAAGTTTTCCTCCAGGTATTCAACGTATCAGCAACAGTTAGATTTGTCCCATGGCATCTCCAGCATTGTTAAGATGACACATTTTGAATACATTCATTTACATAAGGCAGGGTCATAGCTACAGCATGTTAATACTTGCAGTCACCATCTAATAAAAGAATCAAGATACTGTCTAATGAAATCAGTTTTTACATAAGATGACTCAGCAATTGGACACACTGTCCATGATGTAATCCAGCAATCACATGTTGCATTTACATTCCCAATTCAGAAGTTCAAACTCATGTGGGGAATGAAAATCCAGTCATGAAAGAAGTGTTTTGAAGAGAACACTAAATTATAGGTCAACATGTTCTTCATATTAAAAACCATGAGGGGAGTTTGAGATGTTCAGTCCCTCTTAACGCTGGATCCAACATCAGCAGATTTCAAATTAAATGCAGCAAAGGGCAAATAAAAACAGCGAAAACAGACAAATTTAAGGGTTAAAAAAACAAAAACTTGATCATCATTCAAGAATTCTTTCAAGGTCCAGTGTTGCCGTGAGTTTTATATCCAGTGGTAAGTTTCACATGTAGAATTGTCTGGGTTTTAAAAAGGAAAAAAAAAAAGATTGTAGTGTGCTACAAGTTCATTACAGTATCATATCCACGTGTTTCATCATGTTAACAGTCCAGGCGCTGTTTTATCTCTTAGAATCAACATTTCTTTTTTAAGAGACGTGTCTTTTCAGTCCTGTATCCAGTGTAGTGCAGCAGCTGTTCATGTGAGCTCAGAGCAGGGATCCAGTGGTATTAAAAAAGAGGAGGGATGGAGGAGCAGCACTAAAAGAGGCAACCTACCCTCTATGAAATAAGCCAGTTGTTGATGCTTCTGTACAATGTACCTAACAGGGTCATAAGATTTAAACTCAACACAAGAAGGTGCTGCTGGCTGTGAGATTGAGGTTGGGTGGAGTGGATGGATTACAGTAAATGTCTTTAACAGTGTTCTTAAGATGTTAAAACTGGAGCTAAATGTTGTGTTAACTGATTAACAAAACTAAACTTGACACCATCTGGTCATAATAATTGTTCTCAATATTCTTACTGCTGATCTGTGTCAGTGTGGGTACTTGACAATGTGGAGCGTGTCAGCTGCCTCCTCCTTCCCGTAGTCCTCTCCGCCCACAGTGTTCAGCGCACCCCTCCAGCTTTCCTGTGTGTGTGGATGGGTGATGGGATGAGAAGGGAGAGCAGTCTGGCTCCTTGTTTCTTCATCAGAGCTCAGTGGTCAGGAGACCTCTGGGTTTGGCTCCATTGTCCGAGGCTGGGGGCTGACCCACAATGCTATGGGACACAGGGGGGGAGTGGCAGGATAGTAACGTTATTACATGAGAGACTACTTTAAGCCGAGTTAAGACTGCATGACATACAAAGTCATGGGATTGCTCTGGAGTTCACACTACACGTCTTCCTGTCTTGTGATCAGGAGCCTTGCAGTTGTTGTCAGTTCATACTACACAACAGTGTGGAGACAGACGTCTACAGACTTCACATCTTTATTAAGTGAAACCCTGACTCATATGTTTGGGCTCCAAACTACAATTGATCACAAAAACAAATGTGAATAGAGACACGGTGAGTCTGACTGATCCTCCTGCTCAAGAATGACGCATCAGGCAGGAGGAGCTGAGACGCTTCAGTGGACATCACAGATGCAAAGAATAGAGAGCAGCTTGGCTGCATTTTTCAGTTCAAACCCCTCTGAGGTAATATATTAATAAAGTTAATAAAAGCTGCTCTGAGTTTCTATTACCCCGTTCCATGGTTATTACTTGATTTCTCCAAGGAGTCAGCGACTGGCAAATCATGTAGTGTGAACTAGGCTTTACCAGTGCAGACACACTTGCATGATCACTAAATTGTTATGAACATGTTGGTTCTGGAAAACACTTCTTTAAAATAATTCTATATTTATAAAATATACAAAAGCACACTTATGATTAAGAACAAATGAAATAAATAATAATAAGTCAGGTAAAACGTCCATGTGGTCAGGTACATAGCTGACGTCATTCTGACATATGCATGTTCTCGGTTCTAACTGTGTCCAGTGACTAACAGTGCTTAATAATATGACTGGAAATTATTTTAAACTGTACCTAAGAGAGTAAAATAAAAAAAGTTTTGGGATAATAGCTAAATGATGCATTTTCTTGCTGGGTCAGCAGGGTCAGTATGATACAACACTTGGAAAACAACCTGTAAGTACTTTGGTTTTAAATTTTACCTGGCGGAGGTGGTGTTACGCGTGTGAGCGATGTGGGGGAGGGCTGGGGTAGCAGCCCCCCCATCTGCAGGGAGAAGAGGGGTGACCTTAGCATGGGGGTCAAGGTCGAGCAGGCCGTTAGTAAAGACGCCGGGAGGCTGCATTAGAAGGGGATGAGGGAGAAGGCAGGAGGTCAGTTTCTACGTAGCCTCTACATCAGCCAACATCCTCAGCAACTATGCAAAGTGTTATTTATGCAAAATTGTTTAATTAACTACAGATCACAAACCTTTGAGAAATTATAGAAGAACATGTGGAAAGTAAGAAACAGGCCGACACAAAGACCAGACAGAAAGGAAGAGCAAAGACTGAGGACTGAAAAGATACTGGGCACTCACAGCAGTTGTTGGAATAATCCAGCGAGGTGTGATGACAGGTTTTGGCTGCTGCACTGGTGGTAGCTGAAACATTACCAGAAAAACTTTGTTACCATCTACACATCATACCCATTTCTATCTCTGCATTTAATTCTTGTTTGATCACAGACACAGGTTTTTTTTCCATGTATCACAGAGAAAGATGTTACACTGCATAAAGTGCGCACAGCCACCGTGTAGTTCAAACACTGGTTAAATTACAAATCATTGCAGGAATTGTTGCACATACAGTGGGCTTGAACTTACTGGATCAGTGAAGTCGATCAGGTTGTCAGATAGCGGCGCAGTGTTTGGCAGGTCAACTTCCTCTGCTTTAACCTGTTTACACAAACACTCTTAAATTACAACAAACCCATACAAATCCTGTATTTGATGATGAGTTCACAACATGTTCCACATGACACATACTGTAGATCAAGTGAGAGCCAGACAAACATGTGTACATCTGTATTAGACAGAAACTGGCTCAGGTTGCAGAGCTGTCAGCGACTCTGTGGCTCCTCAAACTGTTTCCTCCATGAGTCACATTATGTGAGAACATAGGATGTAAAATGCACCTGTAGCCTCATAATACATACTACAGGTAATGTTATTTGTTCCATATTGAAAATGTGTAAAATTATTTATATCGTAACTATATGATTAAAAATAAATATGTTACCTTTGGAGACATGCCTTCGCCGGCAGACTCCGATGGCATCTTGGGAACTGGCGGGATTAAGTCTTCAGCTAACCGCTCGGCACTGATGAGCAGAAAAAAAGGACAAAGATGAGGACGAAGAATTTCAAAGAAAATGTTTAATATATTTCTTTCTTTCTTCTTCCTTGGTATTTTAAACCCTTTATAAAAAATAAAAAAAATGTTTTGCCCTGACCAACAGTTGGTATGGTTACAACAGTATTAAACATAAAAACAAAACATCTGCACATGAGAGAGGTTCGAGATAGATATACTGGATATCTTTACTTGATAAATTCATTAAACGTTTAAATATATATCAAAAATAGTTGCTGATTGTGATTAATCCATTTTTTGAATTGTCCAGACTGTAGAAGAAGAACAGCCTGAGCAGTGTGAGCGTTTACTGCATCTATGAGCCTGGAGCCAAACAGCCTCATGAATTGTCAAGCGTCTGTATTTTTGTGTCATCCTCCTGTAAACACTTCTTGAGCAGCAGTATCCAGGTAGAACTCAAGTCATGTGACCCACCCACCCTGACTCATAAACACAAACATGCAGTACTCAGACATGCCACTGGATGTCAGCAAAGACCACAAAGAACAAGCAGCATCTTTGTGTTCCAGTGATCGTAGGTCCAAGATAATCAAGATTATACAGTGAGGCACTGAAGAAAAGGCAAGTGTGGACTGTAATCTAGTTACATTCAGGTCTTGACTCTCCATCCTTACTAGTTATAAATAAATAATTACTTCCGAAACTTTATTTCTTACTAAGAACTAAATGGTAAAAAAACATTTCTTTCTTTCTACTGTCCTCTCTTCTTCAGGTCCAAAGCTGAAGAAGGTGAAGTGAATATGATTGGTATAGGCCCCTGAAAATCTGCATCATTCAGGTTCAAATCAATACAAAAGGTGTGTTTAAAGTTACAAGATGAATGAACAACATCAGTTTATTTCATCTTTATCAGGCGAGTAATTAATCCATGACGTGACTTTCCAACCCATTAAAATTAAATAAAGGCAGTGTAAAATTCAAAGCAAAAGAAAAGAAACTGCACTAAAAGCAAACACACTGACCTGGCTCCTGCTGACGAGAGCAGTGAAGCTGGCTTCAGCAGGTCCCAGGAGTCCTGGGTGTCAGGGCGGCTGCTAATGGAGAGAGACGAGTTACTGCCCAGTCGCCCTGTACCCACATTCAACCTGTCAGAAGACAGCGTATATTTATGTTTGTGCCAGAAAAATCTACACAAGTACGTGTTTGCATGAAACATTCAGTCTGATTAAGAAAGAAAAACACATCACTTACAGAACAGGATCAAATCAATCCTATGATACTCAATATAATCTCTGCACAATATGATATATCATCTTGCTTCAAACTATATCACCATTTTAAAAGGAATTTATTTGTACACAGGTTTTATTACAAGTTAATTCATCTCTAAAAATATTGGATTCAGTAAATCCCTTTGTCTCTTCAAACCACATCATGAGGCCTCGTAAAAGGGAAACTTGAACTAAGATTGTGAGCAACAGCATTTGCCAACTCTATTGTGGCTGATTCTCCAGTTTGACCCAACTATAGCGTCCGAGAGAGAGAGAGAGAGAGAGAGAGAGAGAGAGAGAGAGAGAGAGAGAGAGAGACTCGCCTGTTGATCTGTGTGGCATCGCTAATACGGATGAGCTGCAGGTGATGTAATGTTGTGAGCTATGCTTATAATCCTCATGAATATTCAAGAGGTTAATCAGCTCTTGCAGCGAGGATTGTGATTCGTGATTGGCTGAGACAATGCGATGACAGTTGGTATGACTCAGGAGGATGGAGGAGGATGGAGGAGGAGGAGGAGGAGGGAGACCCAGTTTCAAAACAATGAAGCACAAGCGATAGATTTTCTCCTGTCCATGTTCGCTCTATAATGACTGACTGTGCTCGACCAACTTTAAAAGGAGGAGTTTTGTAGGAGTCGTGCTACATAAAAAGAAATATTTTTGCATAGTTTTATAATATTTAGAGATATAGATTTCTTTTCATTTCTAACACTCTGTACACTCAATATGTAATAAAAAGCAGTGTGCAGACGTACCTGGTAGAAGCTTCCTGCATGTTACAGTTTTTATCTCCAACCATTATGACGTGTTCCTCCACAGGCCCCTGCACAGAGGTACACAGAGAGAGATAAGTTAAGTTAATTAAGTTAAGAAATTCTTATCAGTGATTTATTAGAAAATAACCTGAGACAATTTCCAGAGGTGCTGGTGTTGTTTAATCTCTGCTAGTCCTTCAATTTAGAATCGCATACACTACACAATGCAGAACTGATCTGAACCTAAATGGTTAAATCACTGCAGAGTAAAAATGCTTCGATCAGCATGATGTGAAGTTATTGTAGCTGTAAGGGGTCTTTCCTCCTATTTCTTTCTGTCCACTTTAGAGGAGTCTTGTTCTCACCTTCAGGGCAGCAGCCTCAGCTTGTGCTTTCAGGATGTTACTCTTCAGATCCTCTGGAGTGCGCAGTGGAGTGACAACTGGACTACTGCCTGCGCTGCTCAGACCACACTTCTCTGTGAGCTTCACCACGTCCTCCTGTTGGAGCATGGTCAGAAGGGACACAAAGGCCCCGATTAAAAAAAACTTGATAGTTCTGAGTATACATCCTAAACAGTCAACCCAGAAATAGTCCTAAATAAACAGTTGTTGATTCAATTTGCCTGTGCAAGTTTGGCTCAGAACTTTACATGTGCTACCTTCTAAATACCTTCTCAATATTGTTCGCTTTAATAGCAATCTCATAAAAACACACGCACCTGATTGTTCATGACCAAATTGACATTGACGTTATTTCTCGGCGTAACTGGACTGCTCTCCAGTTGCAACTCCAGTTGCTTCAGACGAGCTGCTGCTTCTGATGAGAAACAAATAAATAGGAATGCACACATATACCAACGTTATTTTATTCTTTTAGTGAATTTACAATATAACTTGCCAAGGATGTTATGTTTTCATCTGTGTTTGTCTTTTAGTTACTAAACAGGATTATGCAACAACTACTGAACTTTGTAGCGGTATCGGATAAAGAGTTGGATTAAAAAAACATACCAATTATCATAGGGAGATAGGACATTACCCTTGGCAGAGATACATGCTCTCTGAGCACCCTTCTAATTAAGATTATCATTATAATAACAAAACAAGTTACATTTGTAGATGTCCCCTTCCAAAATATTTATCTAGAAGTTATCTTATGTTGACTGATATCATGAACCACATAATCAGCTTTGTGATTTATTAATAACAGACTTAATGTACAATGCAGAACTATGTGAGAATAAACTGTGCAATAGTTATACAACAAACCACCTGCCTAATATATTTACAGAATTAGAGGTGGATTGGCCTCTAAAATGCAATTTTTAGCAGTATAATTTTCATTGTCGGACTGATCCCATTTTGTTGCATTCTATAACCTCACCAGCGAGGCTGAGTGGATCCTCTGCTGTGACACTGGCAGCAGCAGCATAGGCATTGCTTGGTCCGGGCTCCTCTGCAGCTGTCACCGTGGGAACAACGGGAGCCCCGAGGACATCATCAATGCAGGTCTCCATCAGGTCAGCAACCACAGGCACACTGTAGACAATAAAAGGTAGAAGAGGAAGATATGAAAGGAGCTGTAGGCGAAGATGCTTGTATGATTGCAACTGTATTTTAATACAAACACAATCAGATATGATGGAGGGGATGATGCAAATGTTTAACCAAAACTGTAACAGAAGAATTGAGGTTTACACAGCTGTACAACTTACCTGCAGCATCCATAAGATATGAATGGGCTCTGCAAAGATGGCAAAACTGGTCCATGATAGTGTATCCGATGACATTCGAGAATAATACCAACTTCCCATTAAAAACCAACAATATTAAAATAAAACAAATAAAACAAAAAGAAACTTAAGTTCCATTTTGCCTAAGGAGAATTAGATTTGAAAACAAATATATGTTTTGAGCATATCTGAAATAATAGCTTATGGTTTAAGGCATAACCATGCAACCACTGTAAATAATTGTTCAAGAATAACAAGAAAGTACAAAAGCAGTGGCTGTACTTTCTATCAGACAGATGTTGCAGCTGTAGCTCTAAAAAACAATGCCCAAACCCAGATGCCCTCTCCAGAAGTAAAGGAACACTTTCACAGAAACAGGATTCTGCCAATGGTAATAAGTCTGCAAAGCAAGTAATAACTTTTGTGGGAAATAATGTGATGCGAGTGTCCTGAAGCAAAACATGTTATACATGGGTTTTGGTAGAAGCTCTTCCAGCAGCCCAGTTATTACCTCATATTTCTGTAGCCTGAAGACACAGTGAAGCAGTATAGTGGTAGTATGCATACAGCCTGGAGAGAGCACCAGACTTAGAAAAATGCTCTGCCAGAGGTCTCACAAACCAAACATATATAAGTACTCCCACATGTTCGGTTATCTATTAAGGAAACAAAATGGACAGTAAGGATGTATAAACCCCTGATGTTGGCAATTAACACAGACAGAAGGCAGGAAACACATACCAAGGATGGACGGTCTCCTCCCAGACAAGCACAGAACTGTATTTAGGTGCTCTGCTCAGCAAGCTATTCAGTTCTCATACATGATGAGTATTCAATTTCACCAGCTACACAACTCGCCTCCTCCTCAAACAGTTTTTTGACAGAAAGTCTGAGAGTAGTTATAAAGCAATGTAAAATAGAACTACTAGAAAGGTGTAGAAAAGGCACGGCAACAGTTGTCACGGAGTGAATGAAAATAAATGTCAAACTATCCAGAGATTTTATGCATGAACTTAGCATCAAAAATAGTAAACAGTTACTACTTCCTTACATGCTTGTGTGTGATCTACAATCGGTAAATGTTAAAATCCTGGTAATTCTTCTCTAACAGTTAAAGATAGGGTTGGTAACTTTTCCTGAAACCCTTTTTTATTTGTTGAAATTCTCTTCACATCCCAAAATGACTCAATAAGTCATTGGTAAAAAAAAAAAAGGAAGAAGAAAAAGGACCCTAATAAACTCACAGGACTCTGGTAGGCATACCTGTCTGTCACTAACCAAATTGCCTGCCTGTGCACACCATGTCTGTGCTCTCACTGCACATGACCAGAGTCTTATCCAGAGATACATACACCGCTGAAGCTAAGACGACAGCCAGAGGTTAGTGAGCGAAAAGTCGGTATGTAAGGTTGTGCTGATTGGGAGGAGCAGGGATGCATTGGTTGCATATTGTCAAAGTGTAGTTTTTCCAGGATTACCAACCCTAGCTTTAAGTAGGAATACTGATAAAACATACTTTAAAGATACTATTTAAAGCTACACACTCTTCAGTGACAAGAGTGATCATGTATTTATTCTATGAAATGATTGTAAACACAGAAGGTGTACATCCTTTGGTCACAGGTTTGTTAACATCAGCAAAACAAACAATGGAATTATCTCAATTGTGTGGGATGTGCAAGAAACAGCTATGCAGTGGTGTAGCTGAGGTTTAGTGAAGCATTCATAGGATAACAACTTCGATACAATGCAAAGAATTATCAGCCGGATCCATCATTAGCTTGACAGCTGGCTCATTTCATAAAAACACTCAACTGTGCTTTAACCTCTTACAGTGAACTAACAACAGATAAATTAATCTCTGATTCAACTTTGAATATTTTTAGGGAATTACACTCGTTTGATTTCTACCAAGAAGTTGGATGAGAAGGTCATAATAATTTCTGAGTATAGTGTCCATAATGTGTTTATCACTAAAAGCAGAGACAAACAATAATGTGCAAAATGTATGAAATGCACCTTTAACAGAGCAATTCAACCTCCTTCAGAACCAGATCCATGAAATGTGCAGAACAAATGAAATATGAGACAAAAATTGAATTATTTTCTTATATGAAAAAATCAGTTGGTGGAAGTCAAACTTCATGAAGCAACAAGCATCACAAAAACATGTAACACGTTATTTTTGAGCGAGAGAAACAAAGAAGCAGAGGGCGGGTCTAAACCCTCCAGGAACTATGTGACCTGTTTCCTTGCAAAATCGAGAGTGGAGTTGAATTCCTTCCCCTCATAATGATACCATCTCACCCCAGCCACACACTTTCACTATGAGGTTAGGAGTGAAGGTCAAGAGGAGGAAAGGGGGAGAAAGCGAAAGGAGAAGAGAGTGAGAAAGTATTGAAAGTGAGGATCTGAAAAAAGGACAAGAGGGAAAAGAAGGTGAATGGAGCAAATGGAGATGAAACCTTTCAGACATGGCAGTGGAACGAGGATGATGGAAAAAGTGGAAGGAGATGAAAGAGACACTGAGGGAGCAGTAGTGTGGCTTCAAGCTTGAAGAAGTGTGACTAGTGTTACTAGACTTCAGATACTAAGACATATGAACATTCACACAAAGTGTTTTCTTCAATGTGATACAGTCACTGCTTTCACACCAGGGTTTTTTCATGGAGCGAGCCACTGCTGTGCCATTCCCATTCATAAGTGTCCAATTCATGTCAGTACAGACGGTGAGACTGTTGTCGGGTGGTCAGATCTGCCCAACTCCTTTTGGGGAGATTTGATGAGAGATGTGCAGGGGGGATGGAGGGAAGAGGAGACCTGGGGAGAACAGGGGGGAGGGCAAGGACAAGGGGAACTGGACAAACAGGAGGAAATGGGGAGTGAATGAGAGATGAGGTAAACCAAAAAAGCGAGACTGGGGGATGAGATTATATGCAAATGAATGAGAGGGGGGGAGAAGATAAGTGCATCTTATTTAACACAGCGGAACAAGGGAGGAGCAGAGGGCAGCAGTAGAGAAATTGTGGCAGCGGGTAGCTAATAAATCTAAAAAAGGTATAATGATAAAGAAAAAGATTAGTATGAAAGATTAATTCTTTGAAATGTAATTCATTGAATTTGACTTGACATGCAAGCTAATTAGAGATGTTCTAACACCAGCATCAGAGATCCTGGTGAAGTCAAATCTATATGTAGTGATCTGGAGCCACATCCTTTTATTTTATTCGTTTTACCCAAATAAATCTGCAATGTTTTTTTTTTAAACGGAAATCACTTCTAAGCCACTCCAAAACAGCAGTAGCAGTAGTACTGCCAATGGCAAGATGTCTTGTTAGAGCGGTGAAGAAGAGTTGATATCTGGTAGTGTAGTGTAGGCTACGTTTAGCTAAAATGACAGCTTTCTGACAATATTTCATGCTGGAAAGTACCACAAGAAAATGATGATGTGACATATTAGTGTTTTTTTCAGATATGATGGTCAAACTAGATAATTTAAGAAGTTCTATGACATTCATTCTCTGCATGTATTTGTTTTTCAAAAAGTTTAACCTGAGACAGGTCATAAAGCAATAAATAACTTAATATATTTTAAAGTACAAAAACGTTTCAGGGGACATGAAACCTCATGAATAAAACTAAGGCGTGCATGGTTGTGGTAGGGCCAGCAGTGTCAGGACACTGAATAAGCCTTACAACTTGCTACATTGTACACTGGCGTACATATAAGTGCATGTTGACAAGTGAACATGAACACTTGAGTCAAGTGAAGTGGACTAGATGTCTATGGCCCGTCTGTAATGTGGCTTTTCACCTCCACTGGCGGAAGTTTGATGACCTATGTCAAATCTGTGTTCATATATTCAGTGCTGGAGCCTTTTATTTATGCAGCACTATAGGAGCATGAAAGTCAAAAGAGAACAGTTTCCCACTGACACTTTAAAGCAGTGACTATCTAACTAATGTGATGTGACTAGATGCTCAGATACTCAGCAGATTAATTATTAATTAATGATCATTTGTTAATTATTTTAATTTTATAAGTATGATTTCCTTGTGATTTAAAATGTGCAATTCACTCTTGTCACTAATTTTGGACTAATTTTGTTAATCATACTGTCTCTGACTATATACATTATATACACAAAGTTAAGATCATACTGTCAGCTTTAAGGCATACAGCAAATGCACATTATTCTCTTTTGTACTTAGTAAATATAAATGACAGATATAGAGCTATTGAGATGAATTGCTCGTGTTATCTGAAAGAACAGCTGAAGGTTGCAAAATCAACATTGGACTAAAAGCAAGATGTGGCAGGAAAAGAGCTCCACAGTTTATTCAGAAGCATTAGTGATGAAACTGTCTCTTTCAAAGCATTCTCCTCATGTCCACTGAGTCCAGTGCACACAGTTTCTATGGGTTGATGGTATAAACAAGAGGTGGTGTAACATCAGAGCCCATCTCAGTCTAACAAGTGCTGATAAAACACACGTCTCTCAGGACTAGTGTCAGTTTTGCTTAGGTGTGTTTTTAATTGCAGAAGCCCCGATAGCAGGAAAGCCTCAAGGACAATGGATCATATTGCCAGAGCGATGCACCGATTCTGTCTTCAGTAAAATCACTTGGAAACTTAATTTCATTTAAGCACACCGTCACTGAGACTAACTGGGAAGTTAAAACATTTAATATCACGACCCTTCACTGTTGAATAGTTAAAAAATGAATAGTCTGTTTGAAATCTTTGGAAATATTAGTTATGGACTAATTGGTATTTACAGTATTGTGAGGTCATCATGCTGTCAATGAACTGGCCTTATCAAGATCATATCTGTGCACCCTGCAATTGCGGCTGCAAGTCAGTATTTTTTTTATTTTTTATTAAAAAAGTCCCATTTTATACGGAAATGACTGGCAATCCTCTTATTATAGCTGACCAGAAATGTACTTTACTAGAAACAGGATCAGCCTGAGCTGTAAATCTGGATGAGCTGTTTATGCAGAAGCCAAAGTAGGCTGGTTAGGAAAATAGGAATATTTACATTATAGTGAAAAAAAAAAACCATTTAGGTGAGTAATAGTAATTTTTAACAACAATATTCCACAAATTCTCAAATACTGTTCAAACTATTTAAAGGTTTAGAGGGTAAGTAAGCAGGTTCACAGGATGCAAAGTGTTTATAGACTGAAAAGAGAGACACCTCCACACGCACCAATTTCTTGAACAGAGCAGATCCAAAGCAAAAATCATCTAATCACTGATTCATAATGCCAAACACAAGATCCCAGCTAAATCATCACATCATACCCTGCACCGATTAGATTGAGATTTCATGCTGATCAGCAGTGAACAAATATAGAATCACAGGAGATGAATGTACTGCAAGACAGCCCTTTTTCTAAAAGCCAAAATCATGGAGCCCGTCACCACACAGCGTTTGATTTGTTAAAGCCAGCGCAACAGCAAGATTCAGTGCTGGATCGTACCTACCTGACCAGGCTCCAGACAAGATCAATTACTCCTCAGTACATGTTAATACTGGAACACACAGGGGGACATTGCAGGTTTAAACTGAGGAGCTTGCATTCATTGAAGTTTAAAATCTGAGACCACTTTAAAATCTGAGACAACAAGGGAAAGTGGTATTAGATTTTTTGACTATTTTCCTTTTTATTCATGTATGTGTAAATAAAATGAACTTAGAAAAAAAGGGCTACTGAGGAATCACAGGCAAAAATATAGCAGAAACAGAGAGAACCATAAGATGTGAGATAAATTACTAAAATTAAAAGCAGGAGAAAGCCTTCAATAGTACGTCTGCCTCTACTTGAATCCACAGCCCGTCACTCAGTTACCTGTTAACTGTCAGTCAGTCAGATACTTGTCTAACTGCATTTATTATCTACCTGAACACTTCTGCAATTACAGTCTTCCGATGTCTTCTACTAAGTCAAATGCAGACATACAAGTGACTGCGTCCCTCGTACCATTGTCCTTCAGAGAACACCTCCCCATAGAATCACAAGTACAACCTGTATATCATGGTACCCTCGCAAAATAGAGCAAGAACTTAAAAATATGGAAAAAGAGCAGCGAAGCATGAAAAGGACACACAGCAACAAATAAAAAAACAAATGTGCTAATATCCCTTTTTCTCTACCTCAGCCCTATGTGAAACTAGTTCAAATTGATAATTTAAGGTCAGTTTTTCCAATTTTTCATATATGGGCAAAATATATCTTGCTTTGTCATTATGTGTTACTAAGTGTATAGTGATGAGGGGGGAAATTAAGTTAAACAGTTTTAGCATAAGGCTGAAACATAATGAAATGTAAAAACATGTCTGGATATTTTCTGATAGCACTGAATCTATCAACCCACTTCTTTCAGCATCCAACAGGGATCAGTCAGCCCGAGCCAGCCCCCCCTTACATGGCCCTGTTTCTTGTCAGCTGCCACTGGCATATGAAAAACTGACTCAATTTAAAATGTTGATTCATCCTCTTTCAGAACTGTCTGTCTTAATAACAAGGGACTGGAGAGCATTTCAACAAATACAAAAAAAACCCATTTAATAAGACACGCTGACATTCAGAAGAGCTAACTATGAAGGAAAACTCAAAATAACAATGAACCAACCTCCTTTTCTCTACTCCAGGACTCCTGGGCAGAGACTCGATTTCCATTGGTCCACAGACAGAAGCAGCCGCTGGGGTGACCACAGGCACACCAGAACATGCACCTCTACTGAAAGGAACCTGAGGGGGAAAGACAGAATTATATTAAACAGAGCAAACTATTTTGGGAGTATTCAAATTCAAAAACAACTTTGTTTCTCCACGGAGGGCAATTCAAAAGAATTTAGTAGAAATGATAGAAGTGTACAGAAGGGCATGAAGAAGGTAAGATGGGGAGGTATTGAAAATATTGAAAACAAAAAAGAAAGAAAATGAATAAATACAAAGGGTAATTTGTAAGAGTTATGTTAAAGGGATAGTTCACAGATAAATGATCCAGTCAACACTATGCTGATGGAACACTGTTTACCCCTGAGAAGTGTTTTGTGGACTCAAACACTTCACCCACCCCTCCATCAGCATATTGGTGAGTAGGTAATGAGTGAACAGGGTTCAAAAACAGCCTGAGTCTCTTGGGCTGCTCTGTTTTGTTTCCCATTATAATAGAGCAGGGTTAAAAAAACGCAGCAGTTTTGCTCCTCACCTTGTTCTCTTTGCTGGAGCTGACTCCATTGCCCGAGGAAAGAACTCTGAAGAAAGAAAGTAATCGAGGTTTTATTCAACAAACCCCTCAAACTCCTGCTGTCTGTCTTTGGACAAAATGATCATACTTTTTCCATAATGCAAATAATAATGCCTGTGAGCCAATTAGCAAATCCCCATCAGTTTTGTTTTGTTGCTTAAACTACTAGCATTGTCGTAGTGTAGATTTCTCCAAATAGGTGTGATGAAAAGTCAGAGGAATGTTTATCATTATTACTATGCTTTGAGTCAGCTGGTTCCATGACAGATTAACACTATCACTGACACACACACACACTTAACAAAATTATTATAGTCGAGCCTAATGGTGAAACTGCATGCGTAAAGAGAGAAGAGAGAGATTCTGTGTGTGTGTGTTTGAGACAGCACTGTAAGCAGCCATGCTTAAAAGGTGTGGAACACACAGAAGCTAGGTTACTACAATTGTGGTCAACCTCTTATTACAACCTGAATTAAAACTTTGCAAGAAGGACGACACCGATGAGGTCATTTTAACAGACAATTACACAATCACATAGAATAAAACATCAGTGTTCTTACTCCTGTGCGTTGAATGGTCCTGTAAAAAAAACAAAGAACAGACAGTGTTATATACAGAAACATCGACATTAATACATGTTTTGAAATGTACAGATGTGAGTAAGTTTATATGATAGACAATTCTACTTCATGAAAGTGTAATGTTCATAAAAATATAGATATTCTATGTATGCATATGCTTTTCTGTACATATTTGTCCTATGTGATTGTCATGTATATACTGTCAGTACATTCCTATGTTCTGGTTTGTAACTTTGAGTGTTGTCCTGACCTCTGATCTGCATGGTTCTCCTTGAGTAACGTCGACTAGGCCGTCTCTCAAAGGAGGCTGACCGCCTCGCTTTATTGGCCTTGGTCGTCTGATACTCTGTTTTTCCACTGGCAACACAAAGACAAAAAACGTATTTTATACTTAAATACATATCTATTTATTCTTACTCTGCAACTCAAGGTGACCCTGGTAATCACTGGCCATTTCATTAAATACAACAGACAACTTTCCAGGATTATTTTTTGCTAAATCTTATTTTCTTAAAAACAACAGGCGTTGTGACGACCACTGCTGAACTGAGGACCCATCCAGGCGATAACCTTCTATTAACAACAAACCCTCTAACCTCTGTGTTAAACCAACATTACTGCCAGTGCTTATCCAACTGGGTAATGTTTAAACACACAGAGGGGGAACTAGCTGGCTACTGCAGCATGTTGACACTGAGTGCCTGGTTTGAACCATTGCAAGTATCAGTGTGTACACATGTGTGGGGTTTGTATGTACAGAGGGATGATACTGTAACACGCTAGGTTTATCTCTGTTGGTGCGTTCAAACACAAGGTACCGAAACAAACACAGCTCTTTAAAATTTGTGGCGTCTAATTCATTAACAACTTCCGGTATTTTTTAGAATAAGCAGTTTTTAGATGTGGAAAAGCAGATTGCAAAATCAAGTGGTGACTTTTGCCATATCAACAGGGTTCACTATATATTTTATGTTTCACAATTTACAGTTGTGCTTACAGTTAAAACATTGACAGTTTTTGTGTTGAGTCCTCCATGGTGAATTGATGTTTTAATAAAATAAAAAAAAGCAGGAGTGAGTTATAGTTTATACATATTTTATATGTACACTGTTATTTGAGCAGCACTGGAAACAACATTGCCACAAGACTTAACATGATAATGTAAAAGTCATCATAACAACTGTGTTACTGTTGATATTGACTTTATTTTATGAATCTAAAATGCAGAGAGAACTTGCACAGTCAAATGCGACCTTAACCCCTGACCTGCCCCAACGTCCAACTGTTACCTGTATCTGAAGCGTGATCCCATGCGTATGAATCCGGAGCGTGCAGAGTTCTTCTCTACTGGCCCTCTGAGCCTGAAGAAAGCATGGTGCTCCACAGCACACTTCCACAGGTGCTTGCAGGCCTTGGGATGGTCCATCCTGAAGACAAAGGTGTGCTCCTGCTCTTTACCCTGACAAGGATTGGCATGGAGTTAGACGTGGGGGACACAGAGAATAGATTAAGGTCTCAGTAGATTAAAGTCTCATATCTCTTCAGTTGAAATAGAACTCTCACCCACAGTCTGGTGTAGCACAATCATCTACTGTGAACTATAACAAGTTCATTTTAAAACAAACGTAAGAATCATTTGAAATTATACAAAATATTTTCAGTAAAACAAAGCCCATGTGCTAATTCTTTCTTGTAGACGAGGCTGATATGTGAAGAATCAATGGCTTCACAACAGTGTCCAGGTACTGCCTCACTAATCAGGTTTTTAATTGCAGATTAAATGAAAGTGACACCGCAGAAGGCTACAAAACATTCACTGCCAATCCAGAGTCTTGAAGGACGTAACTTCATATAAAACTACATAAATAAAAATAACCAAAGAATAGAGAAAAGGTGAGGGTGTGTCTTCCACAGTCTCAACGCCTAGAGTTCAATCCGTATATTTACAAAATCCGTTTCAGTCTCCCTGATGGCCTGAACCACCTGCTTTTTTATAACTAACAATGTAGCATGTGTTGCTTATGCTGTCAGATTAATCCCAGATCCGCTCATGCCCTTATAGATCTAACAAAAAGTTTAACAGAGAGCTGAGGCCTGCAACAATACAACTTGACCACCACGACCAATTAGAAAGTAAGACTTGCTCCCATAGGTCCAGTGGAGCCAGAGAGACAGAGGCAGATATACAAGCTCACAGACATACTGTGCATTCCAACAGGCCACCTGTCCCCAGAAACCCTCTTTGAGATGTGTCACCTCCTCCACATTTTACACACAATACTTTACTATGTGACAAGATTTTGACAAGAATCACAGCTAGTCTTTTCTCCCTAGGTTCCATCACTAAAGCTCCTGCTGTGTGTGTGTGTGTGTGTGTGTGTGTGTGTGTGTGTGTGTGTGAGTGACAACAATCTTGTCAGAGGTTTAAAAATGTACTGTGCTTGTAAATAATGTACAGTAAATGTATGTGGTGATAGAGCTACATACATTATATAACTGTTTAGGACAGAGTTGGGAGGCGAGACCTGTGTGTGTGTGTGTGTGTGTGTGTGTGTGTGTGTGTGTGTGTGTGTGTGTGCGTAGGAGAACGGTGCATACCAGAAATACCAGAGGGGGCATGCTTCTTTATTAACCTCCTAAGTCAGACCTCCAGGATGGGCATAAACAGACATCTTTCTCTCATATACACTAGCCTCTGGGTACAACAATATAAAGTCTTGTTTCATTATGATTTGGAACAAACCTCTTTCAAGGCTCAGGCACTACTTCAGACAAGCTTTTATTATGAACAGAGCAAACGCTGTATGTTTTCATTTTTCTTTCAAGTGAGTAAACATGGCATGCATGGTCTACAGTTGTGGTGAAACCAAAAACTCTTGTTTGCTTGTTTTTGTAAATAGAGAAATTAGATGATTTAGTTCCTCTTAAAAGCTATAGTAATAATATAATATTTTGCAATTCACAGGAGAAGGAGGCTGAGGCCAGCATGAATTCAGAGTGGCACCAGAGTTAGATGTGCATGATTAAACCAAACCAGGGCTTAGATCATAGAATGTATGTAAAGACTCATGAACTAATGAACTAATGAAAACCAATCTTACCTGTAAAATTAAAAATACATTAGTGTGATAAGAACTACCAAAAACGACAGCAAACATAGTTACAAAAAATGGATTTGATGTACACTTTGACTTTTTAATTTAGTCCCTGTCCCAACCACTAACGTGGATGCAGCAGGATATATGACCAATACTGCAATCAGCCACCAGGGGGAGGTCAAGAAGCCTTGAGTTCACTTTTGGGGAGGAGCAAGCTTTACATACAGTCTATGGTTTAGATACAATTTGTCAAATTTTCACAAAGAAGTTCACTAAATTTATGACTTTCACAATGAAACTGTGTCACTGTTGCAATCTATTAATATTTTAAATCCAAGCCGACGGCATCTTCCATCGACTGCAAAGTGAGTGTTACTGTAGCTCTTACAGATTCATACGCAAGCCTCCACTTCCATAAATAAAATTTTCTTAAGTGCTTAGAATACTAACTATGAATCTTTATGGTCCTGTTCATAACAGATAAGTGTTATAACTAGGTACGGTACATAGAGAGCATAGATAGCATTGCCCTTTGTTTGTAACATTCCACTGCATGGCATGAGTGTCAGCTAAAACTCACCTGATCGTCATCCTCCACGACCACAAGTGTCAGTTTGCTCTTCTTAAAATCTAGCCGGGTGATTTTGGGCCTAGAAAACACACACATACATACATACCAAAAAGGAGTTATTAAAATGTTAATGTTTTTCTATAAAGTATTGAAATAAACATTTCAGTGAATGAGGTCATGACCAAATATACCAGAAAAAGAGCCCGATCTTTGTTTCTCCTTCAAACACCAGAACTCCAGTGGGTGTCAAACCCAGACTGTACTCATTACCATCTCTTGCCTGCAGGACAGAAAGGTTGGAAAAGAAAAGGAAGAAACTATCAATCATGTCTTTATGCACATTCATTCCAATTCCTGTCTTTTATGAAGGACAATTCCTGTTTTAGATCTCAGCTATGCCATTGATCAACTCCATGTACGTGCATCTATATATATGTGAAACAAGTTGATCAAGGTTATATAGTTCATGCTAATGAGACAGTCACTTACCTTGACCATATGCATGTCCACTCCATACATTTCAAGCCACTTTGCTTTATTCAGGTAGTTAATCTCAGCTTGGGCCGGTGTCTGACCTCTGAAGGAGAGGAGGGAACACAGAGAGTAGTTTAAAAAGAGGGAAAAGCCAATTTTCAACTACAGCCCTGAGCAAGGGAGGATTGGAAAAAAACATGTGGAAAACATATCAACGCAGTGTTCATGTGACCGACTATAAGCCCATTCCCACACAACATACAGGCTACACAATCAAGCAAAGCTGTTTCCTTTCATGAGACATCTCATGTCTACTACTTGTGTCCAGTTATGCAGGGCTCACACATATGCATTGAGTTATCGCTTGATGGTGGGTATGCCAGACACTTGGTGCTGGCACAGTCATCACAATGACACTAATGACATTGTTCAGGACACACAATAAGGCCAGTTTTCATGATAATGTACCATGCTTGTTGTCAATACAATGCAAAGAGAAGTACACAGGAGATACAAATCCATAACCTGATGATCACAGTTCACCAGCTCCCTCTGCCTCCTCTTCACAAACTCATTTTGACAGCAGGATCTGTATTTGCATTTAAGTGATTTGATTGGCTAGTGCATGTGCGTGTGAATTTGTTTGAACACGATTTGATCTGCTGCCACATGAAAGCTTCCACTGCACGCTGTGCAAGCAATGCAACACAACCACAATTCAGAAATGTACGACGTCACCCTATTCAAAGCGAATGAGCATCAATTCAACTCTTTATTAATATTAACTTGAATTGACTGCCCACTCATACAGTACTTCAGTAATAGAGAAATGCTTACCTGCACTCTTTCCATGTGTTATATATAGACAGCTCCACATCCTCTGTTTGGTTGGGGATGAAGCGAAATTCTGACACCAGGTCCAGATTATGTTCTAATGGGTCACAGTCACCTAGCTCAGCGAGACACACACACACACACACACACACACACACACACACACACACACACACACACACACACACACAGGCTGCAGGCACTCACAGACACACAAAGACACCACTCGGGCACAAATATACACATTCAGAGTTAATACAGCTACTTAATATGTGCTGTTGCTTCCTCCTAAAACAAAACACATTTAGGTTGTTCAATACTAATTTCATTGTTCAACGGATGTAACTTTTCTCATCTCTTAACATGAAAGTGATGGAACAGAATGATTCACATTGTTCTTCGCTCAAAAATGCAGTTTATATGATTTGTATTACTTGTAAATATTAAGCCTTTTAACAGCCTTTATATTTAGTTTTAACACGTGGTTTATTTGCCAAACTACATTTTATCCATATTTGCATTAAGACAATAAAGTTTCACAATCTGCTGAGGTGACTTGACTTAAGCACAAAAATCCAAGCTCTATATT